ATGGGTACTAGAACTATAGGCATTAGGCAGATGTTTGCCACGCTTATTAAATTCTTAGAAAAAATGGTGTACCTGAAGAGAACATAATAGTCTTTGCTTATGATGACATAGCCGACAACTCAGAAAACATTTTTCCTGGACAAATCTTCAATAAACCAGATGGTGAAGATGTATATAAAGGATGTAAGATTGATTACAAGGACGTTGATATAACACCTGTTAACTTTCTTAATGTTCTCAAAGGTGATAATGAAAAAATGAGGGGAATCGGAAGCGAAAAGGTAATAAATAGTACAAATGACAGTAAAATCTTTGTATTTTTTTCTGGTTACGGAGCAACCGGTTTACTTGGCTTCCCACAAAAATATCTCTACGCAGATAATTTAATTTCAAATCTGACATATATGCGCTAGAAAAATATGTACAGTGAAATGGTATTTTATATTGATGCTTGCGAGTCAGGTTCAATGTTCCAAGGTCTGCTAGATCCTGCATTGAATATATATGTAATGACAGCTACTAATTCATGGGAGAGTTCATGGGGAACATATTGCTATCCAGATGATCTGAAGGATGGTAGACATCTAGGTACTTGTCTCGGTGACTTATTCTCTGTAAACTGGATGGAAGATACTGACGCCAGTGATATCTTGAAGAAGAGTTTACTCACTTAATTTGAGATTGTGAAAAAAGCAACTCGCTGGTCTCATGTTATGCAATTTGGGCAGTTAGAATTTTAGGATAACTCATAGCAATAATCTCAACTGATTAAGAGAAATCTCAGGGATGCAGAGATTGAGAATATTCAGCAAAGGATTTCCTTGACTAATGATTGTAGTTAAACTTCAAATGTAACAATTGGTAATGAGGGTATGAATTCAAGCAACCATAATCTGTAGTATTGTTGGTCAAAGCAAGTCTAGACTGATATAATATAAAGGAGCAGCAAAGGCTCACGAGAAATTAAGATACATTATCTGTAGAGCAGAGTCTAAATGAATAACTTTAAATTTCCAAACTAACAAAGAGAACTTGATCTAGAGGAAAATAAAAGAATTACAGATGACTATGTCTTTGATCTTTTCAAGGATTAAGTCAACTAAAATCATAAGAAATAGACAAATGGAATAGATGAAGCTATCATAATACAAGATGAAGAGGTTTTACCAAGAAACTTTGATTGCCTAAGGGCTATGATTGATGCTTTTGAAGGCTCTATATATGCTAAAATGGATGATTATCAAATGAAATATGTGAGATATTTCGTTTATGCTTGTGAGAAGACTGAAATGACAGAGGAAAATAAAAGCCAGAAGATTCATGAGTTGAGTGAGCAAATCAGAGATGCCTGCATAAGGGCAATTTGATTGCAATCTCAAACATAGAAAGTTGAATTGACTTATTATTGTTAATTCATTTTTATAATTCATCATTTGTAACATATTAACCATAAGGGGTTTTGGGGTTTTGGGGTTTTGGGG